CTGCCCTGATGGACAAGTTGATAGTGTTCAAGGATACATGATGAAGCAATGTAAGTAATTTAAAGGAACACTATAGTCACCTAAATTACTTTAGCTAAATAAAGCAGTTTTAGTGTATAGATCATTCCCCTGCAATTTCACTGCTCAATTCACTGTCATTTAGGAGTTAAATCACTTTGTTTCTGTTTATGCAGCCCTAGCCACACCTCCCCTGGCTATGATTGACAGAGCCTGCATAAAAAAAAAAAAACTGGTTTCACTTTCAAACAGATGTAATTTACCTTAAATAATTGTATCTCAATCTCTAAATTGAACTTTAATCACATACAGGAGGCTCTTGCAGGGTCTAGCAAGCCATTAACATAGCAGGGGATAAGAAAATCTTAATTAAACAGAACTTGCCATAAAGAAAGCCTAAAAAGGGCTCTCTTTACAGGAAGTGTTTATGGAAGGCTGTGCAAGTCCCATGCAGGGAGGTGTGACTAGGGTTCATAAACAAAGGAATTTAACTCCTAAATGGCAGAGGATTGAGCAGTGAGGCTGCAGTGAGGGGCATGTTCTATACACCAAAACTGCTTCATTAAGCTAAAGTTGTTCAGGTGACTATAGTATCCCTTTAAGGGGTTTAACTAAATACTTTTTGCACTGTTTTACAGATCATTTGATAATGGACAATGATACTATGGTAACAAAGAATGTTCCTTTCACTTTACATGGGTCTTCTGATACATTACTATCTAGTCACGTGTTTGAATTTAAAACACAGCTGATGGAAGCTGTAGAAGAACTACGTATGGGACGGGTAAGTCTGCATTTTCTGATTATAATAAAAAAATGGCTTTCCTTCGACATATGGTTTATTAGCTGAAAATCAACAACAAATCTTCAATTCAATTATTCCAAATGTAGCTATACCCCTAGTCACTGATAAGGAAAAACACCACAACTCCTAGAAATCTTTTTGCCTTCTCTTTCTTATTTCTTCTGGATTCTACATGTCTCTCTAAACTGGAAATTTTTGTAGAGGAAATCATGGTGGGTGGGGGGGGGGAGGGGAGAGGATTATTTTAATGCCATACATGCTCTTCCTCTTTTTGACAATGTCATTAAGGGGAGGGGCAGAGTCAGGGCTGTCTTTAACATTGATTGGGCCCTGGGTAAGCATTTGTTTGGGCCCCCTGGATCCTGTCCTCCCCCCCCACTTTCACTCTCTGGCATACAATCATGCCCTCCACCCCAACACAGTGGCAGAACTAATGTAGACAGGGCCCTGGTGCAAGACATTGTTTTGAGCCTCTCCTCTAGCGCGGGGGTATACCATTTGGCC